CCTGAAGCCAGATGAGGGTAAAGAAAGATAAATAAAATATAAATCTCCCAATTCAAGGAGATAGAGCCATTGTCTCATTAAAAAAGAGTAACAAAAAAACCTGCTGTAGAATTCTGAAGCAAAGAGAAACTGTAGTTTGTCCTGGAGCCATGTGCTATACATCTATACATCTCACCTTCACTGCCTTCCCATTACACACCTCGTATGCTCACGACATGCTTTCGATCTCTGGGAATACTTGCTTAACTTAATGCATCAAACCTAATTTTGTACTCTTCTCCTTAAAATTCTGGATTTGTGCCATTAACTTAATTTACTTCATTATGCCACTACGGTGTCCTGGACCTAAAATGAATCAGTCCTTTGAGACATATTTCTGGAGATGTATTAAGATGTACTTATCTTCCACAAAAAAAAAAGAAAAAAAAGAAAAGAAAAGAAAAGAAAAGAAAAGAAAAGAAAAGAAAAGAGAAAAAAAAAGATTTTCTTTTAGAATAGCTAGTTGCTTTTACTTCAAGAAAAAAGTCACTAGGTGCATTTATTTCAGACACGTACATGAAACATAGATATAACCAACTTTGGAGATGGTGGAACTTTCCATATGAAGACTAGTACAAATACATAACAAAATGATTGCATTTCTTACTGTTGTAAAAGAAGAAAAAAGAAGGCTGGCCCTGGGAATTGACAGGAGGGTTTGTGTGTTGGGCTAAATGGCTAAAAGTGGGAAAATTCTAATTGCAAAGGAGTTGATAAAAGTTTAAAAGGGTATAGAAATGGCTTTGGTAGACAGGCTAATATTAGCTCTTAGACCAACATTTTAAGTGTCAAAACTTTGTGTCAGGAGTCCCTGATGGGGCCCAGCCCCTACATTTGTGCTCCCCAAGAATTCAGGTAATGATACTGGGGCCAGAGAGTCTTCACTGGGTCCACGGTCCGCACACATGCTCACCCCAGTGTTCAGAGAAGAGAGAGATTCAGATCCTTGGGTGTCTGTGAGCTCTGAGGACCCAGGACTGGCCCCTGCCCCAGTATGTCTTTCAGACTGGGGAGACCCAAGCAAAATTGTGACACCTTAGTTCTGCTGACTCTGGGCAGAGGTCTGGGGCCTGGGTTTCACAGGCATTCACAGGTAGGAGGAAGTCAGACAGCAGAATGACCACTGAGGAATGGGTACTCAGGGAATAAAATGTTTTGTGAAGACCTGAGATTCTTTTTTTTTTAAGTGATTTATTTATAAGTGTTAATTCAGATAAATCTACAATCTGTAAAAGTCTCATTTCCAATAGAAAATATGCACCAATAAAAATGGCAGGGATGAAAAAAATATGGGAGAAGGGGCAAGATTATGATGATAAGTGATGAATTAAGAAGTGATATGGGAATCTGACTGGAGAGGGAAAAAAGGAAAGTAAGGAGTCTGGACTATTTTGTCAGAAAGAAAATTCGGCAAAGACGTTACAATTGACCAAAAATCTAAATTTGTCAACTGAAGAAAAGCATTCATTCTAAGAGAAATATATTCCCAGCTCCGATCTAAACTAAGAAGCTTACAGAATACTGTTGGAACCTGAATACACCTTTGTCTAACATTCGAAAATTGCATGATGCCTTTGAGTCATACATCTACTGATCTAAAAAATACTGGGGATTATTTCAAATCTTGTTGGGTAGAAGCTCGAATGTTTCAGAAGAAATAAAGGACTATTCCTAAACATTGGCAAAGTATTTCCATTACAAAAAGTATGCCTGTGTCCCAAATATGTTTTTAAACCAGAAATAATGACGTGTGTGAACATTTAGCTAGACTTAATTCCTTTCACCTACATATCAACTCAAATGTGTCCTTTTGTCCCCTATTCTAAGAGATTTCCTAAGGTAACAATACTGCTGTAACTTTGGGTATTTTTTAAAGGTCTGGCCAAATTATGAATGTCTTTGACCACCCTAAAACTAAGTAAGCAAGCATTGGATTTTAACCTAGAAAAGAAAATTATATTAAAATATTCCCTGCTGTCAGCTGTTACCCATGACCTCTGTTGAGACGTTCACAACAGAGGTCACAGGGCTCCCCAACCCCTCCCAAAGAAAAGGCAGCGGGAAGCCACAGACACTGACTGCATTAATCTTAATCTGTATTGGAATCTACCCCATGACCCGAAATCATAATTCTATATAAATCCACCAAAATTTAGATCGAAAAGAGAAGTGGAAGAGACAGATTTTTAAAAACAGATCTTAAAAATCTATTCCAGGGTATTAAGCAATTTACCACTAAACTTCCTTTACAAGCTCTGTTGTAGTTTCAGTATTAAGAACAGTCTCAAATGTGTGTTTTACCCAAACAAGGGCATCAGCTTTCTTCTCTTTAAATTAGGGTTCAAAGACATTATTAGGGAGTAACTAGGCCATAATTAAGAGTTACATTAGAGAAAGATACATTTTATTAGACTTGAATACTTCCCAGATCAAAAACTACACCACCATTAGGGCGTTCCTGGCCCAATACTTCATTTCCTTTGAGTATCTTGGAATCAGAAAAGTCAGCTGCTCACAAAGACAATAATCTGACCACCTTCAAAATCAATCAACATTTAATTCTAACTTAATAAAAAAGCCACACCAAATTTTCGTACCACCTTACCATATCATGCAAACTGGACTGCCAAACACATGAGCAAAGTGAAAGCCAATTTGAATGTGTTAAAATTCCAGAGTCTAGCAATAGAAACATCTTGCATTTTTAGATGGAAAGTGTTTGTTGAACCCCTTGAGAAAGAATGTACTAGAATAAATCATTCCTGTTTTGGTTAGAGACCAGAAGACCTAAGAGTCATATAAATGCTAACACAGAAAGTGAGTTTCGAGTTTGTTCCAGGTCACTGACAGATACAAGGGGCTGGGTAAGATCACAGCACCACACGATTAATACTTTACCTGTTAAGGTTGTGTTTTAACTCCAGGGCTCATTCTACTCCTCACCCACCCCCAAGGAAGCACTACGCACTACCCAGGGTCACTTTTTCTTTAGAGACATTTATCCATAGCACACAGACATTTGTCCATAACACTGTACCCAAAAGGCTAAGGGCAACCAACCAGACAATCTCAGAGACTAGGTCTTTCAAAGTGTCTATCAGCTTTTCCTTCCACTCAGGCACCAGACCTGACACTGCTGTGACAACGACATTTACATGTGAATGCCTGAGTCTTCACCAAAGCCTTGCTGGAAATTGAAAGGTTGAAAGATCTCAGGCCTAAACTCTAATACCCTGCAGGAAAAATAGGACAAGCCTGGCCCCAAGAAAAATTCTACACAAAACCAGGGACTCTATCTTGTAGTGTTTGGAACTCTGGGAAAGAAAGCAGTCAAGCTTCCTTGGGATTTTGGCGTCGGTCTGAACACCCACAAGACCATCAGAATTAAATCAAGTTGTCAATGAAACATGCAGTTGCAAGAAAGCAAAAATTCTTATTTTCAATTCCACATTCCCAAGACAAGACACCCGGGGCCAAGATGTTCAGTTGAAACAAATGGCATTCACAACAAAGACAACCTTTGCAAGCTTGGATAGCACTCTGGGATTTCCACACTTCCTGGGGCCAAAGTGGAGCCAAAGATAACTAAAGGTTAAGGTGATCTAACACCACCCAAAATTCCAACAAAAAAATGCTAAATTTGGAGCAGCCGATCATGAGCAGGGGAGGGAAGTCAAAGGGCTACTTGCCAGTGGCTAAACCAGACCAGTACTCATCAACCACGATTTTCCAGGACATCAGTATAAAGAGCCTTTAAAAATCAAGGCCACCAGTCAGTCCCCTGTCCCCCCTTACCCCCTGCTTTCTCTAAGAAAATGCTTGCAGCAGCTTCCCATCAGCCTGCCCGCGCTGGGCAGTGCCAAGATGAAACTTTTAAACCTTGAGGGAGGTGGGAAAGTCAGCCAGCCAGACGCTGGGCTAGGAAAAGCGGAGAGAAGGAGGGAAAGAGTCAAGTTTCAAAACAAAGGCTCCACAAGGAACTGAACGTCAGCCCCTCCCCACTTCCTAGCCCTCACACCAGCAGCTAGGCTGGGCCTGGATTTTTCAGGACACAAATAAGTCAGATGTGCCCAGCCCTCGAACCTTCACCGAGGCTTGGCCTGTCACTAGAACATTTGCACAACCACTTGCCGCGGGTGGTGCTAGCCTGTCTCCCCCCACCTCCTGGCGAAGGGCGAGCCGGGCTCAGAACCGGGTGACTCGCCCGAGGTACCACAGTAGAGCCTCAAGTCAACCCCGTAACTGGCCAGGGCACCCGGGGCATCAGGGTCAGGGCACTCGAGGGGGCCGGGGATCCAGGGCCAGAGCACCTGGGTGGGGGGCGGGGAGTCAGGGTCAGGGCACCCGGGGGTGGGGAGGCAGGGTCAGGGCGCCCGAGGGGGCCAGTGAGCCAGGGTCAGGCACCCAAGGGGGCTGGGGAGCTGGGGTCAGGGCACCCAGGGAGCCAGAGCCAGGGCACCCGAGGGGACCGAAAGCCAGGGTCAGGGCACCCGGGGGGGGGCGAGGAACCAGGGTCAGGGCACGGGCGGGGGGGGGAAAGCCCGGGAACCAGGGCCAGGGCACCCAGGGGGGCCGGAGAGCCGGGGTCAGGGCACGAGGGGGGGGGGGCGGGGAGCCAGAGTCAGGGCACGGGGGGGGGACGGGGAGCCAGAGTCAGGGCAGGAGGGGGTGCGGGGAGCCGGGGTCAGGGCACCCAGGGGGGCCGGGGTCAGGGCACGAGGGGGGGGCGGGGAGCCAGAGTCAGGGCACGGGGGGGGGACGGGGAGCCAGAGTCAGGGCAGGAGGGGGTGCGGGGAGCCGGGGGGTCAGGGCACCCAGGGGGGCCGGGGAGCCGGGGTCAGGGCACGGGGGGCGGGGGGGGGGCCCGCGCGAGGGCCTCGGGGGCCCAAAGGGCGACGGCCCCGGCCGGCCGGAGCCAGGCTGGGGAGGGGGGCGCCCCCGCTCTTCGCCGCGGCCCCTACCTTCCTTGACTCCGGGCAGCTTGGACTGGTCGATGGTGACTTCAGCCATGTTGGGCCGGGGTCCCGGCCGCCCCTCGCCGCCCGCCCCTCGCCGCCCGCCGCCGGCCCCGAGCGCGGCCCCGCGGCACCAGCAGCCCCAGCAGCCCCAGCAGCCGCGGCACCGCCAGCAGCAGCAGCAGCAGCAGCAGCAGCGCCCGACGCGGCGCAAAGTCCGGCCGGCAGCGCGCGCCGACCTGGGGGAGGAGCGGCCGCCGCGGAAGCGCTGGCGACAAAGGCGGCGGGAGGGCCGTCCGGGCGCCCGGGCAGGCGGCCCCGCTGAGCCCGCCGCAGCCACCTGCTCCCGCGCCCCCCGCCCCCCGCCCGGATCGATACCCGATCCCCGAGCCCGGAAGTGGAGCCGGGCCGTCCCGTACGGAGGGAGAGAGGAGACAGAAAGGCGGGCGCGCGGGCCGGGCGCGGGGCGGGGCGGGCCTGTAACCGCGCCTGCGAACCCCGGGGAGGGGGGTGCGGGTCTGTAACCAGGCCTGCGAGCCCTGCGGAGGGGGGGTGCGGGTCGGTAACCCGGCCTGCGACCAGCTGGGGCTGCGGGTCTGTAACCGCGCCTGGGAGCCCCGGGGGTTGTGGGTCTGTAACCGGGCCTGCGAGCCGGGCGGGCTGCGGGTCTGTAACCGCACCTGCGACCAGCTAGGGGCTGTGGGTCTGTAACCGCGCCTGCGAGCCGGGCGGGCTGCGGGTCTGTAACCGCGCCTGGAAGCCCCGGGGGTTGTGGGTCTGTAACCTGGCCTGCGAGGCGCGGGGGGGGGGGGCTGCGGGTCTGTAACCGCGCCTGCGACCAGCTGGGGGCTGTGGGTCTGTAACCGGGCCTGCGAGCCGGGCGGGCTGCGGGTCTGTAACCGCGCCTGGAAGCCCCGGGGGTTGTGGGTCTGTAACCTGGCCTGCGAGGCGCGGGGGGGGGGGGCTGCGGGTCTGTAACCGCGCCTGCGACCAGCTGGGGGCTGTGGGTCTGTAACCGGGCCTGCGAGCCGCGGGGGCTGCGGGCCTGTAACCGGGCCTGCGAGCCCCGGGAGCACTGAGGTCCACGCGGCGGCCGCCTCCCCGCCGTCTCCTTTGTGCCGAGCGACGCCCCGGGGCTGCGGCCGCGAGGAGCCCCCGCCCCGGACCCCGCCGCCGTCCAGTCCGAGGGCTCCTGAAGGCCTCAACCAGGGCACGTGGGTCACCCAGAACAGAATCGGCCTCGCCGCCGGGGCTCTGGTTCCGGGGCTGGGATTTCCTGCTGCCTGGCTGTGTCTCAGGCATGCTTTGCCTCCGGGGATTAGAGGAAGGATAACATATGGACGTGGAAAACCTCTGATACAACCTACAGAGCTAGACAACAGCTGCTATGTGGGCCAGTTTACCGAGGAGAGCATTCGCCACCAGCTGGGGGGACTGAGTCATTCATTCATCAAAAACGCAGGACTGTCTACCAACTGTAGAATTAGGTACTCGGGGGTGATAAAACGTGTCTCAGACATTGTCTTACAGCACATCACATACTGGGCTATAATTGTGACATTTTCATCTCTCAAATATAGACATCCTGTCTGTATCTCCTGGCAACGCAATTCTCCCTCCTTTTGGGACACTGTCCTCAGCAGTGGGCTCCTCTCCGGAGCTCGCGCGATCATAGAACCTCCCTCCCACCACCACCACCACCACCACCACCACCTACGCGTGTTCATCCAAGGATGGGTGTGTGAACGAGATAGGTCAAGCAGAGTACTCCCCCAAGATTATAGCTTAAAGAGGGGCAGGTACTTTGTGTTCCCTACGGGGAGGCTTTGCCCTCAGCAGTCAACAGTGAAACCAAACTTCCAACAGAGCAAAGGTAAGAGGAAGAGAGAAACAGGGCATGTCCTGATACCACAATAGCAAGCCAGGTCCCTGGAATAGCTGGGATGCTTGCAGCTCCTGGATTCTGGGATCTCCCTCCAACATCCTCTCAAATTCAAGCTGGTAATTTTACTCTCTTAAGGTTGTAAAAATGGATTTTCTTTCATTTATAACTCAGTCTCAGCACAACAGGCCACAGGGAAGAGGTTTTATTTGGACTGGACATTAAAAAATAGATGTAGGTTAGCAAACCTTTAGGAGAAGACTTTCTAGACTAGAAGGTGATGAACTATGGCTCACAGGCCAAATCCAGGCACTGGGTTTTTTGGGTTTTTTTTAATTAATTAATTTAGGGGGAGAGAGAGAGAAGGGTAGGAACAGGCAGGGGAAGAGGGAGAAAGAGAATCCCAAGCAGGCTCCCAGTGCATAGCCCAACACAGAGCTGGATCCCATACCCCGAGATCATGATCTGAGCTAAAATCAAGTCAGGCCAACCGAGTGACCCAAGTGCCCCAGCCCACTAGATTTTAATGACTACATTTTATACGCTTAAATGGTTACATTTTAAGTGGTTGCATAAATACAATGTAATATTTTCAATTTTGTCTCTCAGGTCCCAAATCTAAAATATTTACTATTCGACCCTTTTCAGAAAAAGTTTGTCAACTAGTACTAGGCAGAAAGAGCACTCAGTAAGCCAAATGGTTGAATAGGAAGGTGATACTATTAGGAAGGTAGTGTTATAGTGATTTTTAAGTTTCTTGCCTTCTGACTTTTTAAAAAAAAATTATGGTCATAGAGAATATTTATAATAGATATTTTCAGTTTTCCTCTCCAAATCCACTGCCTCTACTTCTCTCCATGCTCTGCCTGGGAGCTGACATTTATGAATGTATCACCGGAACCTCCTTGCCTTGTGATTCCTGTTGAGTTGGACCAATGGGAAGCATTATCAGAAGATCAAAAGAAGGAAGGAGAGAAATATCAGCCTGTGAATTACCCTCTTCTCACCTTTGTATTAGGCCAAAATTTTGGCCCTGCCCTGGCCTTCTAATTACAATGCCTGTTCAAAGACTCTTTTCCATGGCTATAGCTCTTCTTAGGTCTCTAATAATACCATTTCCTACCAGTGCCCCTTCAGGTGTAGGGTTGTACCACTTTGCTTGGTCCTTGAACCATTCCCACACCTCTGTAATCATCCTTCATTATATTCTTTTCAATTAAAGCATTTTGCATGCTGCTTCTGTTTTCTGCCTAGACTCTGACTGATAGGATAAATAAGAAATGCCAAAAGGTCGCCGCTTTGTTTTCCTTAACAACACCCATATTTCTGTCCTGGAGAAAAAATATATTCAAAGTCATGTCTATTGTTTAGGGCATCAGCTGCCTTCAACAGAAAAAGTAATGAAAAGTGACCAGAAGCCCCTTTCAGTTGCTGGACCAGATAACATGAAAATCCTCCCCAAAATCAGGCTATCCTTCCCTATCCCCACCCTTACTCTATATCTACCCCCCCAACCTGAGCAATTAGAGCTCAGAGTTATAGGATCAGCACTTTCCAGCACAGGACTGAAATGTCTAAATATCTTTTGATTATTTAAAAGAAAATGGAATGTATAGTGAATTCCTATATCTAGTTTATGTATTTTAATGTCCTGAAATGTCAGTTTTGCAGTAAGAAGATTCAAAAGATACCTCCCAGAGGAGGTACAAATCCCCAATTTTAAGCAGATCTCAAACAAGCATTCCAGGGCTAAATCGTAACTCAAATGCCACAGGGAGAAATAAGGATTTATTTATAAGATACTATCAAACCACTAATTGAGTAGATTATTATAAATGAGAGTTATATGGCACATTTTCTACATGAAGAGGGTTAATTTGGGAATAACAAAACACGTGGATTGGAAGGGGGAGAGTATGGCCATAAGAAGTCAAATCAGAGAACTAAAATATTCAAGAGACAGCCAAGTGGTACTAGATGGCGAACTCCATAAGGTCAGGGATTTTTCACCTGTTTTACTATCCTTAATACTTAGAGCAATGCCTGGCACAAAAGGGGCACTCAATAAATGCTTGTTAGATAAATAATGAATATAGCTATCCAATTATAAAAATCCCAAATTAAAAGAAGGCTAAAGGGAAAGCAATATGGTCAAATGAATAAGTCACACTGGACCTTGATAAGGCAAGAAAGGGGACCCACGATGTTACCCATGCTCCTAGAAAGACCCCTTCCTTTTCTTGGCACCCAGTGCTTTCTAGAAACTTCACCACCACAGTCAACCTAAGAAAGAAGTTCCCCCCCCAAAAAAAATAGGCCATAATTAGAGCTAATTATGCAACTTCCACTAAGTAGACATTGTTAGTCTGCTGGGGCTGTCTTAACGAAACACCACACCCAGAGTGTTTTAAACAAATTTATTTCTCACAGTTCTGGAGATTAGAAATCCAAGAGCAAGGTTTTGGCACATTTAGTGTTTTCTGAGGCCTCTCTCCTTGGCTTGCAGATGGCCACCTTCTCACTAAAGCCTAGCTGTCACCTGGGAACATTGTTTTTCCAGCAGCCCTCAACAATTAATGGGTTTCTTCTCGAATGCTCTATACCCCATTGGGCTTGGGGGTGCTACGGTTGTATTCTTTTTTATCTTATTGCCTCTCCTAGAACATACTTATCCCCTATTCTTAAATATATCTAGTGTCTCTGAAGCTCATACCCTCAGAATCCCTACATCTCCTGTGGTAGTTATTTACATACCCTTGGGTAACTTCTTGTTCCTTCAAGATGATAGCTTCTTTCTCATTGTGTCCATCATCTGTAACTTGGTGATTTCAATGTCTACATAGACAGTCCACCTCTCTTTTCTTGGCTTCCTTATGCCCAGTGATCTTATTACCCCACCCCATCTCCACCAAAAAGTCCCAGGGTCATTAACTAGAATTTGGCATTACTAGAGAATGTGCTCCCTCATCAATCTTGAACACCTCATTCTCCACCTACCGTTTCTATCTCTGCAACTCACTCCTACTAATACCCCAACTCCAACAATTCTCCAACAGCAGCAGAACCGATCATCTCTTTGTCCTGCCACCTCGGTACTGATTCTCACTTCTCCCTATATCCCTACTTCTTTTTTAACTAGCCTATGGCCTATTTTGTAATCACTCCCTGCAAGATACTCTCACTTCCCTTACCTCTGGTTTCCTTTTCCCTACTTGCATGGCAATATCCCAGCCATGGCTAATTGACTATAAATTCTGCATATTGCCCAGACCAATTTATTTCCTATTCCATTAGACATTATTTGCACATCTTCTTCCCTTCTACCTATATAGTCCCTCACCTCTCTCTACTCTTAGTTTCTTAGACTATTAAGAAAATAAAAATCATTGAAAAGAGGACTTCCAACCTCACCCTTTCCAAATCAATCAGTCCACCTGTCTATTTCTCTATATAAGACTAACATCTTCATTGTGGACTGGATCCTTGGGTGATTTTCAAAAAAAATTATAAACAGGATGGCAGAAATACAAACATGGCAACAG